CGATCTCTCTTACAAAGATGTTCTTTTTGAGCAATACCAAATAAATGGTATGTGTCACTGTTAATTGCTTTACACTTCCAACATACATTGCTTGATCCCCATAAATGTTGTCAAGTCATGAAGCTATTGATCTTTAATAAGGACTTTATTAACATTTCCTATCTTTAACATCTCCTAGGGTGTAAGTACCCACACTGCAGTGTTTAATAAAGACTGTAGCATCAGTTCTCATCAGCATCCATGCAGCCAGGGAAACTCAAGAGAAGAGAGTGCATGGATGCTGCAACACTGATGAGAATTTGTATTTGGGCCCAGACTAATTATGAAGGGAGTATACTTCTTCGTAGCAGGGACGCGGGTGGCGCTGTGGGTTAAACCAAAGAGCCTAGGGCTTGCCGATCAGAAGGTCGGCGATTCGAATCCCCGCGACGGGGTGAGCTCCCGTTGCTTGGTCCCTGCTCCTGTCAACCTAGCAGTTCGAAAGCACGTCAAAGTGCAAGTAGATAAATAGGTACTGCTCTGGCGGGAAGGTAAATGGCGTTTCCGTGTGCTGCTCTGGTTCACCAGAAGCGGCTTAGTCATGCTGGCCACATGACCCGGAAGCTGTACGCCGGCTCCCTCGGCCAATAAAGCGAGATGAGCGCCGCAACCCCAGAGTCAGCCACGACTGGACCTAATGGTCAGGGGTCCCTTTACCTTTATACTTCTTCGTAATTTTTGGACTCAGCTTCCAATTAGCCCGGAAGCTCCTTCCTGGTAAAATTTTGCACTCTAGACCCGCAAGTCCTGATCATTGACTGAATCACCAGTTGAATCTACACTTTAAAGAGAAAGGTGGGAATCGGCGCTTCTTAACAGTATGAGCATACGTAACTCAGGCTGTTATAGAATAGCACACTTTAGTTTTTAAGAGGTTTCCCCTTCACAGCAACCACTGTATTAATAGCCTAGGAGTGCAGCCCCATAATGTTTTGTCCTTGGCAACAGATTCAGACCCTGGACCAGTTTGTACTAAGTTTGCCAAAAAAGTTTTTTTTGGGGGGGGGGAGTTTAAAAGGAAGACTTGCATTAATTCAAGTCAATGATTTGGAAACATACAGGCCACAGTTTTTTGCTTGCTTGTTCTTTGCTGGCCGCCAGATATATTTTTAAATTATGGCTGCCATGGTGGCTTGAAAGGCTTCTTAACTGAAGCTCACGCTGCCGCAGTTACTGTGTGCTGCGTCCTGCAAGTTGAAAGGAAAATGGAAAGCGTTGCTAGGTAGCTGCTTGGCATGCTTAGGTTTGTCCTTGGAATGGGTCTAGCCACTTGAAATTCAATCTGGAAGTAACTCTGAATGAAGAGCTCAGCAGCCCGAATGTTTTATGGATGCTCAACAAGCTGAATCCAGACTCCAGACTGGATCTCTGTTGGGTCCCTGGCAAGAGGTGCTAGGCTGAAAGGCTGAAAACTCTGTGGCATATCAAAGACAACTGGTGGCTCCAGGATCAAAACAAAAAACTCACTGGCCTCCTAGACAGTTAGGTATTATATGAATACCCCTAACAATTCTCCAGCAAGTTAAGGTTTTGCCAAGTTTTTCAGTGGCTACTGCTCTTCTGCCTTGAATTGAAATTTTTAATTGCAGGCATCCGCAGGTGACAATGCTTATATCCTTAGTGTGGAAGGCACTGTCTTCTAGTCAAAAGAGAAAGCCAGACCACTTCTTTAGTTGGTAACCATAGTCAGCAGCGGAGCAAGCCGTTTGGGTGCCTGGGGCGGCATGTGTGCCCTGCACCTGGGGGCGGGGCCAACCAGGGTAGGACACTCTGTGGGGCCACCAAGGAGTCTATCTGCCTCCTCACACTCATCTGCCCTACAGCTGAGGGGGATGCAGAGGGAGGACCATTTGGGGAAGCGCAGAGCCTGTGGGCTCTCAAGCCACCGTGTCACTCCCAGGAGAGATGTGTGGCTCTGACGCACCTCACGCCCCGGGGTGAAGAAGAAGAAGAAGAAGGGAAGGAGGAGTTTGAATTTGATATCCCGCTTTATCACTACCCTAAGGAGTCTCAAAGTGGCTAACAATCTCCTTTCCCTTCCTCCCCCACAACAAACACTCTGTGAGGTGAGTGAGGCTGAGAGACTTCAGAGAAGTGTGACTAGCCCAAGGTCACCCAGCAGCTGCATGTGGAGGAGCGTGGAAGCGAACCCGGTTCACCAGATTACAAGTCCACCGCTCTTAACCACTACACCACACTGGTCACACTGGTGAGTGCCGCCTGGCATTTTGTCACCCCCTCAGTGGTGACACCTGGGGCGGACTGCCCCCACTGCACTCCTTTCCTCCACCCCTGACCATAGTAAAATAGGGACTATGTCCAAAGCAGAGCTCCACTGGTGCTGAGCCACTTCAGTTTCCTCTCCTCCTCCTTCATGCTGGAATCAAATCTGCTAAGGGTCCCCCAACCCCTTTGAGCTGATTTTGAGATATAGAGGAGCTGCTGTGGAGAGTTCCATTCTGCTAGTGCAAGTCTCTTATGCTAGAGAAACAGTAGCATTGGAGACTGCCCTATGGATGCTTGTATCCCCTTCTTACATCCCTGACTCCAAAACATACTTAGGTAAAGGTAAAGGGACCCCTGACCATTAGGTCCAGTCGTGGCCGACTCTGGGATTGCGGTGCTCATCTTGCTTTATTGGCCGAGGGAGCCGGCATACAACTTCTGGGTCATGTGGCCAGCATTACTAAGCCGCTTCTGGCAAACCAGAGCAGCGCATAGAAACACTGTTTACCTTCCCACTGGAGCAGTACCTATTAATCTACTTGCACTTTGATGTGCTTTCGAACTGCTAGGTTGGCAGGAGCAGGGACCGAGCAACGGGGAGCTCACCCCATCGTGGGGATTCTAACCACCAACCTTCCGATCAGTAAGTCCTAGGCTCTGTGGTTTAACCCACAGCGCCACCCGCATCCCATAACATACTTACTTGACAGTAATTTGCATTGAAATCAACTACCTGCACAATCCTATGCACACCTACTCAGAAGTAAGTCCCACTGTGTCTCTAAGCAACTTTAGTAGTTGAGGGGTGCAGACAGACATCCTATATCAGAGGGCAGGGAAAGGAATCATCTCAGCCTGGAAGGTGATGTAGGAGGTTGTGCTTTTGGTACAACATTTTTATTCTACTTCACATTATATCCTGGAAATCTAGGGATGGCCCAACAGAAAGCAATTTATGTAAAGCTTAAACTGTGACAGGAAAGACTGACATTTGCTTATAATTTCGTGGACAGTTCATATTTTGAAAACTCTCTCCATAATAAGGAGAAAGCAGAGCATGGGTGGTGTTTGCTCACATGTTCAATGAGCAAACTGAATTGTGTGTCCAAAGTAAACATTCTTTGATCAGTGCTGCTTTCATTTGCAGGAACACATTTTTAAGGGCAAAGGGACAGAGTTCTTCTTCAAAAGCAGCAGAAATTTGCTAAAATGTGAGTGTAGGATAGAATTACGGGGGAAAGGGGATGGGGTGCTGAAATTTTATTTATACTGGTGTTTTCTTGTCTGTTAACCACACTCTGAAAAGCTCTACAGTGGTACCTCGGGTTAAGAACTTAATTTGTTCTGGAGGTCCGTTCTTAACCTGAAACTGTTCTTAACCTGAGGTACCACTTTAGCTAATGGGGCCTCCCACTGCCGCCACATGATTTCTGTTCTCATTCTGAAGCAAAGTTCTTAACCCGAGGTACTATTTCTGGGTTAGTGGAGTCTGTAACCTGAAGCATCTGTAACCTGAGGTACCACTGTAATTCCTTTATGGTAGCCTTTTCCAACCTGGTGCCCTCCAGATTTTTCAGGTTACCATACTGGTTGGGGATGCTGAGAATTTTAGTCCAAAACTTGGGGATGCTGAGAATTTTAGTCCAAAACTTCTGAAGGGCACCAGATTGCAGAAGGCATATTATGGGATAACAAGGGATTTGTGGCTAGATCTCAAGCTCTGTAGTTAATCACTAAAATAAAATGTCAGGGTCCCAAGGATGATATTTTTCACCCTGAGATGTTGTACACTGCCCTAGTGAGTGGCTGACTGAACTGTTCATAAGCTGGCAGGTTAAAAAGTGTCAGCTTTAAGTGTGAGAGTCTTCCAGATCTCAGTCCCAATAACTTATTCTCAATGTCCTGTATAACATACAAAATCACCCTAAGGGAGAATTCACCTGAGCATGCTCAGAGGCCAGTTCTTGTGAGCTCTATGCATAGAAAGACTTTCAGGTGAGATGATGTGCTTATAGGTAGAGATGGGTGAATGTGTCAGTTTTGGCTTCCCTCGGTTTCTCATTTACCCATTCTTCAGTTCTCTACATTTTGGCATCAATTTGTGATATATTAAAAATGTCCTCGTAAAAATTGGTCAGCATTTTAAAGTGAACTTCTACTAATAGACACCCATGTGTGCAGTTTTGCCCTAAGACAAACAGGTTTGCAGAGCAATTTCCCTAATATATTGCTTTTGTGTGTGTCATTTTTTATGAATATGGTATATGCATTCATCTGCTCACTTTACCGTAGCAGATGGATTTTTCGTACACGTTACTTGGCTTGAGAATTGCATTGCAAAATTCACGTAAGGGCAAATGTCAAAGGATGCTTGGATTTCAGTTTGCATATTACTTGGGAAAGTGTGAATTAGGTAGGGTCACCTTTCAAAGTCAACTGCATCAAATTTCTCCTCCATCCCTACTTAGAGGGAAATCTTGAGCTCTCAGCAGCAAGTTATTTATTCAGTTTACAAATTGAACGATTTAATCTATTTAATTTACAAATAATTTGACTGCATTAATTGCTGCTCACAAGTTCCTCTTAGCAATAAATAAGGAGCAGAATTATTTTTTTAAAAGCCTGGGTTGTTCCCTTGGGAAGCAACCACTTATTTTGTTTCCTTGTACAGTGAGGCATTCTCTCTCCTTGCTACATACAGACAACAAAGCCCTCCTCCAAGCTCAACTGAAGGCTCTGGTAGCTCTGGAAGAATGAGACGAAGGCCAGGCAACAGCGGGTTATGCTGCTGTGACTCCCTCCTCCCTCCCCACCCCACCGCCACTTGCCATGAGTGGAGAGCTTCTGGGCAAAGACAAGCCCTGAGAACTTCCATCCAATAACAAGACAAGGCGGCTTTTCCTGGATACAGTGCATTGTAGCAACCTGAAAAGGTGTGTTTGTGTATTGCAGAGAGAACAAACAAGTGAGGTGAGTGCATTGCTGCTCTTTTCCTCCCCGCTTCCCTGCTCAGTTGATCTTGAGACGTTTTCTAAATTATGCTTGATCTTTCCTTTCAAGGTGTAATATTATATGCGAGGCAGAGCAGAGCTGTCAGTGTGGGGAGGACTTGTTCAGAACTGCAGTCTCCCTCTCTCCCTCTTTGTCGGAGTTCTTTCAAAAGGATTCATCAAACTTGTATGTGGGAAGAAGGGGGCAAGGGAGTCCTTGTTTTGTTTCAGGAAAAGTGCCTGGGAGCAGCAAGACTGACATGCTCCTCAGCCATTTCTCTGTCTCTCACTTCAGGCAATAGCAACCCCAGGCATATCTGTAACTTCAACTACTTAAACTAGTTTAAAGGAGCAGAGGCCCTTCTCTCTCTCTCTCTCTCTCTCTCTCTCTCTCTCTCTCTCTCTCTCGGCTTTCTTCCCTCCCTCCCCTTGCAAATCTGCTTTCCTGGAATAATTTAAAAACAACAACTCTTCAACCATTTCCCCAACAGCATTGCCAGAGGTGAGAAGCAGCTCTTGTTCCACTGAAGTGGGAAGAAAGAACGCACGCCCCTCTGCCCCATTTTGTTTCTGCAGGTGTTGCTTCTGCATAAGGAGAGGAACTAGGCAGTGGAACTATTTCAGTGGGTCCAGGACAGCAAGAGAGTGTGGGGCACTAAACTGGGGGTGGGAAATTTGTAACATCTAGCCCCCCTGCTCCAGTGGCTAGCAACCACTGCCATCACTACCAGTGTTTGAAGAGAGGCACATGGGTGTACGTGTGGATGCAAGGCCATCTAAGACCTTGTTTTTGGATATTAACAGCAGCTTGGTATCAGGGTACACAGTACCACTTCCAGGGTATGGCCTGCTGCAGGTAGTTGGGGTATCTGCAAAGTATTGACTCAGAGTATTTCTCTTTCGGGTTACCCCTTCAGGGAGCCACAGGGCAAGACCACTCCCTAAAACCTTTGTTTCTTTTTGCCACAAACTCAGCAAAGCTGTGTCTTGAGTTAATTCAGATTGTGAATTAACATGATGACCTCAAAGTCAGAAGCACTTTTGCTATAGTTTGTTACTAGTTTGGCTGGAGAAACACAGGTCCCTACCTACACTCCAAGCATTGAGGCTGAGTATGGGGTGTATGTTTCTCATCCCATTCTATTCACATGTTTTGGTTTCAAAACAACAACAACAACATGTAAACCTGCTGGCTTGGAGACAGTGATTGGATTTTTTCAAATGAGTATGCACACCTCAGGCAAGGATGCTTCTCTCAATTTCCATATCTATCTTCCGTAACTCCAGGCTCAAAATCTGTTACTGGCACATTTATTTATTTATGGGGGTGGGATGGGGGAGGGTGGCGCTTTCCAAATGAGTGTGATGGAAGATAACTTCTGAAATGTTAAATATCCTCAAAGAGTTTCTTAAAAACTATTGCCTTTGCATGGAGCTTGTTCCAATTTACCTATTTAGTAAATGATACTTTCTTCCTAGCATTAGAAAATAAGTAAGTAAGTAAGACTTGAAATAGAACCCTACTGGATCAAAACAAAGGACCATTTTGTGCAGCATCCTTACCCTATTCTCATAGTGGCCGATCATAGGCCTATGGGGAAGTCCACCAGAACAATTCCCAGAAACTGGTATATAGAGTCCTATCTGTTCCTGTACTGAAGATGGAATACAGCAGGGTTTCCCCAATGTGAGTTTCCAGCTGGTTTTGGACTACAACTCCCATCATCCCTAACTAGCAGGACCAGTGGTCAAGGATGATAGGAACTGTAGTCCAAAAACAGCTGGAGACCCGAGTTTGGGAAACCCTGTATACAGTCATCACGGCTACTAGCAAACTGTAGCTTCAGATGCCCTATGTTTAATGCACATAATACGAATAGGTCATGAAAAGATATATATCCAGCCCCATAGTATGCAAGGCCCAAAAAGTCAATGGAATTTTTTTCCTGGCAAGCAGTAGAGTCCTACAGCCAAATTATTCTGTGAACCGCCCTGAGACCCCCAGGTATAGGGCGGTATATAAATTCAATACATAAATAAAATTAAAATAAATATACAAAATCTTATATATTTTCTCGGAAGGAAATTCCACTGATTTCACTTCAGCTTACTTCCAAGCACATCTGTTTAGGATTCCAAACTTAGTTTTCCCCAAAGCTGGGAAGACTTGAAACAGGACTGTGAAGGAGCCCGTTCAAAATTAACAGTTAACAACAACGCAGGAAAAGGGACGCAGGTGGCGCTGTGGGTTAAACCACAGAGCCTAGGACTTGCTGATCGGAAGGTCAGCGGTTCGAATCCCCTGTGACGGGGTGAGCTCCTGTTGCTCGGTCCCTGCTCCTGCCAACCTAGCAGTTCGAAAGCACGTCAAAGTGCAAGTAGATAAATAGGTACCACTCTGGCGGGAAGGTAAACGGTGTTTCCGTGCGCTGCTCTGGTTCGCCAGAAGTGGCTTAGTCATGCTGGCCACATGACCCGGAAGCTGTACGCCGGCTCCCTCGGCCAATAAAATGAGATGAGCGCTGCAACCCCAGAGTCGGTCACGACTGGACCTAATGGTCAGGGGTCCCTTTACCTTTACCTTTAACGCAGGAAAGAGAGGAGGGTGTTTGTATAGAACCTAGCCTAGTGTACTTACTGTAGCTAAAATATACATTCCTCACTCTGCCCACACCCACCACAGGCCTTTTGTCCCCGAAGGAAATTAAGCTATCACACTGAAAAAGTGTCCCTACTCTGCTCTAGAATAAAGTGAGGATTTCTAGTTCTCTAGTGTCGCAGAATCGAGTTCTCCTAACAGTAGTTTACTGCACTGCTTCAGGTTGTAGGATTTGTTTGGACTATGGGAATCTATGCCAGTCACTTCCAAAAGAACAATGGTCAGATCCTTACGGCAATTACAGATCCATCTCAAGCCAACTGGATTGCGATCCATGCCGAGACCTGCAATAGTAAGAGCATCCCTTTTTTTAAAAAAAAGCATCAGCCACTGCTGTGACTCACACCTTAATCTTCTCTCTTGGCCTCTGAAGGATAAAGTGCTATTTCTGTCCACACCAATAATTGCTGAACACATTCCTGTAATCCTTTTTACAGTACAGTATTTGCATGCTTAAAAAAAATGTATCCCTTCATAGTGACTTCATACAGCGCCTTTTACCCATTACGTAGCCAAAATAAGTTTAATTAATGGTATATTTATGGTGATATTATTAGCGGCATAGTTTCTCCATGTAATAGACTGTGCTTGTTTGAGCCATTTGCTCTCCCCTTTAAAATCTGTTAGTTCTGTGAAAGGAATGGATAGAGGCCCAAGTAGAAAATCCTCAGCACTTTGTCAAACTTAAGTTCCTAGGATTCCTTGAGGAAATGTTGTTGTTGTTTAGTCATTTAGTCATGTCTGACTCTTCGTGACCCCATGGACCAGAGCATGCCAGGCACTCCTGTCTTCCACTGCCTCCCACAGTTTGGTCAAACTCATGCTGGTAGCTTCGAGAACACTGTCCAACCATCTCGTCCTCTGTCCTCCCCTTCTCCTTGTGCCCTCCATCTTTCCCAACATCAGGGTCTTTTCCAGGGAGTCTTCTCTTCTCATGAGGTGGCCAAAGTATTGGAGTCTCAGTTTCAGGATCTGTCCTTCCAGTGAGCACTCAGGGCTGATTTCCTTAAGAATGGAGAGGTTTGATCTTCTTGCAGTCCATGGGACTCTCAAGAGTCTCCTCCAGCACCATAATTCAAAAGCATCAATTCTTCGGCGATCAGCCTTCTTTATGGTCCAGCTCTCACTTCCATACATCACTACTGGGAAAACCATAGCTTTAACTATACGGACCTTTGTTGGCAAGGTGAGGAAATAATTTCCTTGAGGAAATAATGATGGTCAAAGGGGGAATGAACCCAGCATAGGTTTGTAATGGAAATGGGACCTTGGCTTTGGCTGGATGGTTACTCAAGGCAACTGTCCATTTCATCAGACCTTACACACCAATTAGACTACGTATAAGGCACCTTCCTATGTTTTTGCACTTTTCACAAGGGAACAATTTGAAACTGTTGCCCAGTCAGGCATGACCTATCTTTGCTGCCATGGCATGAGGGCAGAGGGCCTTCTTGGTAGTGGCGCCCACTCTGTGGAACGCCCTCCCATCAGATGTCAAATAAATAAACAATTATCTGATGTTTAGAAGACATCTGAAGGCAGCTCTGTTTAGGGAAGCTTTTAATGACTGATGTTTAAATGTATTTTTAATCTTTTGTTGGAAGCCACCCAGAGTGGCTGGGGAAACCCAGCCAGATGGGCGGGTATGTATGTATGTATGTATGTATGTATGTATGTATGTATAAATATTATCTAGACCTAGTCACCATATTTCCCACCCCCCAGACAATATGTCTTCATTCTAGTGCCGCTGGTTTGTGGTGGAAACTGATGCTGGCATGGAGATACATGGAAGAATGACATGCCGCCCAGATTCCATGTGTGAAATCATTGTAGTAAGGCTAGCACATGCTGTGTTAAGTCTGTTATGAACACAAACTAACTAGATCAAAATCCAAAAAAGCAAAAGCAAAATCTTAATGATTTACTAAGAAAAAACAATGATTTTGAACTTTCACATGACTGCAGCTGCCACATTAATTACAAACCCAATTTTAATATAAAAGAGCAGATTTCATAATGTCCCATGGAGAGAAGCAATTTATTTTTACATCCAGTAATAGGGTGTATGCACACCCTACACGTAAAGTAGAGCACTCTGCCTTGGGATAGGGTGCAGTTTCCATCGTCTGAAGCCTACAAAGTGATTTTGAACATGGTTCAAAAACAGCTGATGTTGCAGGATGTTTGTCATCGGAATGAAGCAATTGTTATGCAAGATTGTGTGGTCAAGATTATGGAATGAGGCAGTGTAAGCTGTTTGCAGTTGACATCCATTTAAGGCATCCAGCCCACTTGGCATTGTACACATTTTTCGTGTT